CAGGTGAGCCCCTGCCTGACACGAGGCACTTGGCCAGAGTTCCGAGGCCTCGTAACAATGCCTGCGCGCGTAGCTGTAGGCGGCGCTGAAGCTAGAGAGGCTTGCCCTGCGGATGAGGCCCGCGAACGCGCAGTGCCCGACCGCGATCTCCAGCGCCTGCCCGCCCACGCGGCGTCGCCGCAGCAGCCCGCGAAGCGCCCGCCGCAGCCGCCAGAAACGCCGACAGCCAAGCCGCGCGCGCCGCCTGCCAGCGTCCAGCGCGACCCCCAGCGCCTCGACCTCGCCCTCCGAGATCTCCAGCTCGTGCGTCTTGGGCCCCCTCTCCTCGAAGCTCGCGACCAGCTGCTCCGAGGTGCCCTGCGCGACCTGGCGGCTGCGCCCAAACGCGCCCGCGTTGTCTACATGCACGTAGTGGCGCACCTGCTTGCCGCCCTCTAGGCAGCGCAGCAGCAGCGGCCGCCCGCGGTCCACGAGGAGCTCGCATCGGTCGATCACCGATGCCGCGGCCTCCTCGTCAGTCGTGGGCGTGGAACAGCGACCAGGTGAAGCCCATGGGCAGGGCGGTCGCCAGAGGCGCGACCTCTCCGGAAGGGCGGGGCTTCGTGCCCCCGAGCTCTCGGAGGCCAACCTCGCCCGCCAGCGCCGAGGGGGGCCCGAAAAACTCGCGCGAGTGATCGAGCGTCTTCATGCTGGCGTTGGCCACGTCCACTGCGCCGACAGCAAAATGCGCGGCGCCGGGGCCGTCGCCCTCCCTCGACGCCACCGAGGCCCTCCGCACGCAGTCAACGAGTTCACGTGGAGGAGTGCGGAAACGGGCGCTGCTCCTCCGAGCGTCCCGGATCATCCTCATCTGCCCCGACTTCAGAAAACAAATCTCGTTCGGGACAAGACAGCGCATGCTCGACAAGACCTCGCTCGCGTAGGTCCTTGAGAAACTGCGCGTGCTTCCCGCGGTTCCGCGTCAGCGCGGGGCCCGCGTGACGCGGGGTCTCTTGCAACTGGGCCTTAGTTAGTTGCTAGTTGCTGTTGGGCAGGTCGGCGCATGCGCCCCCCGCCCCCCTCCAGGAAGCACCGACCTCGGGTGCTAACGAGCACCCCGATCTGCCGGCAATCGACAGCGCTCGAGGGCAGCGACGCCAGGTCACGATTGGAGGAGGGCCGAGGCCGTTGAGGCGGAGCTGACGGCAGCGCGGCCGCCGCCCCGCCCTCGGAGCAACTGCAGCAGGGCCGCCTCCGCGGTTAAGTGATTGGCCTTGCCGCCGCTGGGCTGCTGGGGGCGCGCCGGCCATTCCAAGCGGCGCCTAATAGAGTCCGCCATCTCCGAGGTCAGGCCGAGGCGCCCGCCCAGCTGAGCTGGGCGCTCGGCTCGGCGGCGCGGAGGCCGCCTGGCCAATTCAGTGCATCGAGAGCTGACGCCACTAGCGCGAGGAAAACCTCGCGTCGACGATCCCGTCGCTGCTGTTTCTTGGATCGCTCGGCCCTGGCGGCTGGGTCAACGTGCAGGGCTGGCAGAAGAAAGAATCGCCGCCGCCCGTCGGCCGCCTGACACGGCCCGCCCCCAACGCTCGAAGGGCCGCAGCTGGGGGCGTCAACGGCGTGCTCCTCTCTCTTCATCGCGGCCTGTCCGCGAGCGCAGCTCGCCCTCCCCGAGCCGCCCCGCGCATGTCTCGCCCTCGTCCTCGTCCGCGCCCGCGCCCGCCGGCGGCCTCGCCACTGCCGTCCTCGCCCGACTCCTAAATCGGCGGCAGCGACCCGAGCGCCCCGGCGCGGTGGTCGCGCTCGTCATTGCAGCGGCGGATGCCCCGAGATCGGGGACCTGGGCCCACGGCCTCCAAGCCCGAGCGCGCGCCCTCATGCACGTTCGCCAGCCTCCAGTTCGGCGCCGGCTGCCCGCGGCCGGCGTCGATGATGGCCGCCGGGCGCCTGCCCAGCCGCCCTGCGCCCGCGAGGGGCGGGAGGTTCACCTGGTCACGCGTTGCGAACAGATGGGGCGCTTTCGTGATGGCCTGGAGCTCGTGGGTCGCCCTATCCGTCCTCGAGATGTCGCTCTCCCTCAAGAAATCCACCAACCATTATTCCAGGTCGCCGCGCCGCCTCTCTGCGTGGAGAAGCAGGTGGGAGAGACAGCCAGGCCCCTCGATGTCACGACAATCCAGGGGCTCCTGGCTCATCTCCGCGGCGAGCTTGCTGAAGCTCTTGTAGCGACGGCCGAACTCATCGTAGTCCACCCAGAGCGCGCGGCTGCCATCGCCAGCGGCCGCCGCCCGCGGGAACCGCGCCCTCCAGCTCCTTCGCACCCGGCTCGTCAGCTCCGTCACCGCCAGCGTCCGCCCCCCAGGGCTCCAGCGAGGGCTGCGTCCTCATGCCAGCGAGGCTCCGCCCTGTAGGAATCAAGCAGTCGCCGCCTGAACTCGGGGATCTCCGACTTCTTCACGAGCATCACCTTCAAGCGGCTCCCCTTGTCCCGCGCGAAGCCGACGCCCTCGGCGTGGGTGATGTCGCCCTGTCTCAGTTCGACGGTGTCGCCCAGCCGCACGCCACCGCCGCCGACGTCGGCCACCGCCCACGCGCGGCCCTCGGGCGGCCCGAACGGGGGCGTCGCCGCGCCGCCCGGCGCGTCGCCGAACGGCACAGACGGCTGAGCGGGCCCGCCGCCGACCTTCAGCGGCAAGCGTCGGCTGGGAACTACCAGGCCCTCCGCGGTCAGCAGCTTCGGGACAGGCGGCGCCTCGAAGCCCAGCTCCTCGTAGGTGGCCAAGCGGCTCGCCAGCTCCCGCCTGATCGCCTGCGTGCTCGGGTAGTCCTCCTCCTGGAACTTGTAGAAGACCCCTCGCAGAAGCCGAGGGTCCTCCGCGGTTTCCCCCAGCACCACGAACTGCTTAACGTCCATTTTGCCCTCGCTATACTGCTCCTCATAAGTCATGAGGTCCGGCGTCATGCTCCGCAAGGTCGTGGCCATCCTGTTGCCACTCGCGCCGGCGGGTCCGAGCAGCACCCGTTCGTGGAAGAGGATCTCCCCGACATCGGCGCACTGCAGCCCGACCGACCTGCCAGGCATGAGCTCACGCGCGAACTCCTCGGCCGAGCACGCCTGTCCGCTGGCCCCCAGGAGCCTCCCCACGGGCAGCCTCCGCGCCCCCGACATGGCGACTGCGCAGCACCCCGGCGCCCAGCTGCCCGATGAGCGCCGACGCGAGGTGGCCGCCCACGACGCCGCCCCAGCAAAGGCCCTCGGCCTAGCTCGCTCTCGGGGCAGGGCGGGCGCACCGTGGCCTGCTCGAGGCAGACGCCCAAGGGCGGTTCCCTCGCCGCCTGCGCGAGGCCGTCCGCGGCCTCCTCCAGGCGGGTCAGGGCCGCGCCCCGCTCAGCGCGCTTAGCTTAGCTTATCTCATGTTAGCTTAGCTTAGCTTAGCCTAACCTAGCTAAGCTTAGCTTAGCTTAGCTTAGCCTAGCCTAGCTTAGCTTAGCTTAGCTTAGCTTATCTCATCTTAGCTTAGCTATCTTAGCTTAGCTTAGCTTAGCTTGGCTGATGCAGCTTTCCTAGGGGTTCCAACTCCTAGGTAGGGTCGCACTGTGATAATTCCCTACCTAGGCTCTGCCTAGAAGGGGTCTTATTCTCTTAGCTTAAAGGGGCCGGGCAGTGCTACACGCCCCGGGCGGTTCCCCCGGTCCCCTGGGAGCGGTTCCCCGCAGTCCCCTGGGAGCTTTAGCTTTAGCTTTAGCTTAGCTTAGCTGTAGCTTAGCTTTAGCTTAGCGTTTCGCTTAGCTTTTCGCTTAGCGTTTAGCTTAGCTGTAGCTTAGCTTGAGCTTTAGCTGTAGCTTAGCTTTAGCTTAGCTTGAGCTTAGCTGTAGCTTAGCTTTAGCTTAGCTTTAGCTTAGCTCTAGCTTAGCTTTAGCTTAGCTTTAGCTTAGCTGTAGCTTAGCTTAGCTTAGCTGCTGCTCAGCTTTAGCTTAGCGTTAGCTTAGATGCAGCTTAGTTTTAGCTTAGCTGTTGCTCAGCTTTAGCTTAGCTTTAGCTTAGCTTTAGCTTAGCTTTAGCTTAGCTTTAGTTCAGCGTTACTGTTACTACTAATGCTGCTTTCCTAGGGGTTCCAACTCCTAGGTAGGGTCGCACTGGGATCATTTTTTCCTTGCTGAACGTAAAATGTATTCCGCATCCCCTCCAGGGGGCTTTGGGATGAAGCGGACAGAGCGGAGCACCGAATGAGCAGGACAGCAGTTCCGCACAAACGGTTTCTGTTAACAAATTCTGTGGGCGCGAAGCGTTGCCGCATAGCCGCGTAGCTTCCACCGTGTATTCTTCACCACGCAGAGTACACCCAGCAGCGTGCACCACATAGCTTCCACCACATACAGTCGAGGCGTTGACCTAAGGAACCCTGAATAAGGAACGAGGCCCCTATTTTCCATAAGTTGAACTTCGATTTCGTATCGAAAACCTAAGGAACCTCCAAGGCAAGCTGCGAAACAATTAAGGAGCACGGAGCCCCTCCCCAACGAAAAGGGTTCCTTCTTCAGGGCCCCGACTGGAGCTTCCACCACATGGCTTCCACCACATGGCTTCCACCACCAAAATGCAAACTCGCTGTCTGGGGCCCACGCTGGCGAACGCTTCCGAATGACAGTTTCCTAGGTAAGGCGACCAATGCCCTTTGTCTGCTCCCATGACGAACCCTGGTGGACAAGCTAATTCATTGGGCTCCCTCCCCTCTTTCCAAACCCTCTGGCAAGAATGCGAACAAGGTCACCCCCCGAACAGTTGAGATGAGCGCCTCCTCCTCCTCCTCCTCCTCCTCGTCCTCCTCCTCCTCCTCCTCCTCCTCCTCTCCTCCTCCTCCTCCTCCTCCTCCTCCTCCTCCTCCTCCTCCTCCGCTTCCTCCTCCTCCTCCTCCTCCTCCTCCTCCTCCTCCTCCTCCTCCTCCTCCTCCCCCTCTTCCTTCGCGACGACGGCGCGGCGACGAGAAGGACGACGATGACGCCGAAGACGCCGACGGCGGGGCCTCCCCCGAGCTCGAACCGGATCAGGGCCCACTGCACTGCCGCTTCGTCCACCAGCTCCTGCAACCCCTCGACGCCGTCCCTGGGCGGGCCGTGGGCAAGCCAGGGCCGGCGGACATCCACCAATGCACCCCGTGGCGAGCGCGGGGGGCCCTCATCCGCGGCACGTCGGCAGTCGACGAGCGGCGCGGTGAATTGTTGCAGAATCCTCCCCCTCCACCTCCACCTCCATCTCTTCCTCCTCCACCTCCTCCTCCATCTCCTCCTCCTCCTCCTCCTCCTCCTCCTCCTCCTCCACAACCCTCTCCTGCTCCCGCTCCTCCTCCTCCTCCTCCTCCTCCTCCTCCTCCTCCTCCTCCTCCTCCTCCTCCTCCTCCTCCTCCTCCTCCTCCTCCTCCCCCTCATTTCTCACTGTTTCTTTGGTTCCTCCTGGGCTTACCCTTCAGAGAACGACCCCTGGGCATCTCCTGGATCGCGTTCTGACCAGGATTTCGGAGCGGATCTGGTCGTGGGGACAAGGGGCTGGACGCGAGAGAGAAGATCGAGCGAAGAAATCGGGGCAGCTCTCGGGACGCTGGCGCAACCATGCCTCGCAGCGTGAGAATCCCAGCCCCACGCGGCTGCGGAGGAGGTGGGGGAGCAGACGCAGGACGCAGGACGAGGGCGGGGTCTGGTCCCACATGGCAGCAGCAGGAGGACGAGGAGCAGGGTGAAGACGAGACGGGCGAGGACGAGGAGGAGAACGGGATGGACGGGAGGTGGGAGGCGGGGGCCTGGCCTCGCATGGCAGCAGCAGCAGCAGGGCGAGGAGTAGGAGAAGGGGATCGACGGGAGGTGGGAGGCGGGGGGGGGGGCGGGGGGCAGCGGGAAGGAGCGGCTGGAGCACCGAGGGGGGTTGGGGGGGGGGGACGGGGACGCGAGGAGAAATGATCCCGCGAAAGGGGGGGGCGAGCAGGGAGGAAGAACCGGGAAGCATGGCCCATGCAGCCCTCTTTTGCTGGCTCAGGCTTCCATTATCCCTCATTCTTTTTTCTCTGGCATCTTCTCTTGCCGTCAAGGCACATGCTGGCAGTCACCGCACTCAAGCTCGAGCTTCAGAGCTTGCGGGTTCAGAACGAGCCCGCGCAGAAGGCCCATCATACCGCAGTGCGCACATGAATATACATGTATTTGATGGCACCGTGGTCCGCTGTTCTGGTTTGGTGCCCAAAAGATACCCCGTCAAGCAGCACTGGTAAACTAAAAACAACTTGAGCCTAGTGAGGTGAGGCTCAAGGGGGGGAAGCGGCGCTCAGACGATGATGATGAGCGTGCACTCTTTTTGCCAAGGAGCCGTGCTGCTCCTCTGGCGCCTGGCGCCTGGCGCGCCGGCGCCTGTCTTGGGCCACGCGTCGCGGGCCACGCCGCCGAAGCGCCCGAGCGCCTCGGCGGCGCCGAAAAAATCCAGAACAGGGCGGGAAGGGGGCCTGTAGGCCCCCAGGGTGGGCCAGCTTGGCCTTTGAAAAGGCTTGAGCCGCCAAGCGGCGGAGAGAGGGGAAGAAGCGGGAAGGGCAAGCAAGGAGGCAAGGGGAGGAGCAAGGGGACCGCAAGTGGAAGCCCGCGCCAGTTCTGGAAACGGGAAGAACCATCAGTTTTACCAAGCACCCTAGATATCCCCTCAAGCAGCACTGGTAAACTAAAAACAACTTGAGCCTAGTGAGGTGAGGCTCAAGGGGAGGAGGCGGCGCTCAGACGATGATGATGAGCGTGCACCCTTTTTGCCAAGGAGCCGTGCTGCTCCTCTGGCGACTGGCGCCTGGCGCGCCGGCGCCTGTCTTGGGCCACGCGTCGCGGGCCACGCCGCCACCTCCTCCTGTGAATGCACCAGCGCGCCCAGCTGGCCGTTGTGGATCACGTAGCCGCCGGTCCTCTCGGCGTGGAACTCAACAGTCCTGGTATCCGCGGCACGCTGCCACGTCTGCCCAGCAAGGTGGGTCCGCAGGCGCAGGGCGGCACGCCGCCGGCGCCCACGGTGGTTCTTCATGCGCCCTGTGCGGCAGCCCTGGCTGGGCTAGCCGCCGGCGCCCCCCTCGTAGCCGCCACCGCCGCCCCCCCTTGACGGCACTGCCGGTTGCCAGGCCGGCGCGGCGCTCCTGCCCTCAGGCGCCAGCTGCTGCCGCTCCGCGCCCAGCTGCTCGCAAGCGCAAAACTGATCGCGAGCGCCAGGCTGAACTCAGCCGGCGCCGTGCGGCCGCTCGCACGGCGGGTGCCGGCGGCGGACCTCCGCTGCCCGCTCGGCCGTTGGCCGGCGGCAGCCTCGCACCTCAGTCGCGATGCGGCCTCGGTTCTCCTCCCCGGGGCCATTCTGGCGGCCCGCGGTGCCCTGACGGGGCCACTTCCCGTGTCACCTCATTGGCCCGGCGGAAGCCCTGGGTCTCGTGCGCGTACCTCACGCCGTTGTAATGCACCGGGCCCATCACTCCCGCGTCGCAGTACGTCTTCTGCGGCTGCTTGGGGAGCTTGGGCGCCTTGGGCGTCGGCTGCACCACGGCCCGCTGTGCTTCATGCTCCGGCACCTTCCCGCTTTTCTTGGCCACCCCGCAGCAGCAGCAGCAGCAAAGCACCCCGATGCCCGCTGCGAGCAGCACTGCAATCATGGCCGCCACCTTCAGCGCCGTCTCCACCGGGAAGACGATCGCCACCGTGCTCATCTGCGGCTCCCAGCGAAGTATAACCCCCTGGGTCTCGTCGTCGACCGCCGCAATCTCCCGGCCCTGTGTCTCCCCCGCTGCCGTTGCGAGCGCCGTTGCCATTAGCGCTGCGCACGGCAGGCTCGCCCGGGGGTTGCGGGCCCTGCGGTTGCTGCTGCGCCCGCTGGCTGCCCGTCCACTCCTTCGCTGCCGCCTGTGCTGCCAAACAGCTCCCAGCAGCGCCGCCGCTAGCAGCATCCCCGCTGCCACTGCCCGCGTCCTCAAGCTGACCGGGAGCACGAAGATCAGTAGGTTCTGGCTCTCCGCCGGGTCGACCTTGATCACGTAGCCGTCCGCCCCGCCGACTGTGGAGGAGAGCGTCGTCGCGGCCAGCACAGCTCCGGGCCACAGCGGGGTCGGGCCCTTGCCCGCGCGGCGCTCGCTCTCGGCCGCGTGGGCCGGCGGCGCCGTGAGCTCGGACGTGTCCGTCGCCATGTCGGTCGAGATGCCGCGCATGGGTTCGTGGCCCCCCCACAGGTGCCCATGGAAGCTGTCGGAGGCCCAGCGCCCGAAGCGCTCGACGCGCTGCAGGTCGTCCACGGCATGGTACGTCGCCGTTGCGCCTCCTATGCGGAGGCTGTGTGAGCCGATCTCCTCCTTCCTCTGCCCGGCGGCCAGCCCTGCTACTGTCAAGCGGTGCTGCACCTCCTCGCGGCGGATGGGTGCACCGCTCGCCCAGCGGAAGAGTGGGAGCTCCTCCTCGCTGCCTCGCAGCCTCCGCGGGTAGTGCTGCTCCAGCTGGCGGATAGCGGCCACCGGGCACAGCGGTGTGCCCGTCTCGTACTGGTTCCTCACACACCCCACATTAGATTGATCCGTCTTCGAAGTGGTGATGTGGAGCACCACCTCCACTGCGTCTTCGAAGGCGCAGGGCTGGTTGTTGCTGTCACGGCCCGCGATGCCCACGCCGCGCACGACGCGCTCCTGGCTCCACGTTTTTCCAGGCTGGATCAAGTACTCGGACGCCCTCAACATGAAGAAGAAAGCCACAACCACGGCGGCCCACAGGACCGTGGTATCCGTCGCGGGGAGGTCGGTCTGGTCCTTCAGGAAGCCGTGGAGCCACAAGAGCATGCGCGGTGTCACAGGCCGCTTCCGCCCGCTCGGCCCTTGGCCCCTCTTGAGGCCGGCGAGCGTGGACCAGAGGCGGCCGCGGTGGAGTAGAGGGTCAGGATAGCCGACTACGAGGTGGGCAAAACGCACAGCAAACAACTTCTGTTTGATCGTACCTTCTGTGCGCTTCAGCACCTTGGCCAACACAGTGACGAATCCCAGCAACGCTTCCTCGTTGGCGTAGCGCTCCTCGCGGTCGCGCCCCTCGAGCCAGGGCGACCCGCCCTGGGCTGCCCTGAAGCCCTGCCACTGTCGCCAGCCGGTTTCATAGCCGGCGCGGGTCCCCTCAGACAGCCGCAGCATCAGCGCCTCGCGCTTCTGCTCCTCGATCCACCTGCCGTAGTCCTCCCCTCCCAGGGTCGGGTGGTCCGGCAAGGCGATGGCAGCCCGAGCTTGGCCCAGCGCGATCGGCTTGACTAGCCTCTGGGTCTCCACCTTCTTGCCCCTGTTGGGGCTCCGCCTCCGCCGCCTCTTGGGCGTGTCGACAACCACATTCAGGTCCACCTCCTTGGCGTCAGGTGGGGGCTCGGGCCCCCGCACGAGGTCCTCCTCGATCGCTCTGAAGCGGACGCCTTGGCTCTTGCGCCTCGCTTTGTGAACATCGTCGCTTAGCACTCCCGCGTGTCGGTCGTCCTCTGCGGCCTCGGCCTTCACGCGGAGCTCGCCCTGCGCCCAGGCCCTGAGCCACCTCCGGGGCGTCTCCCAGACGGCGGACTCCGCGGGGTCGCGGCAGCCGCCTGCCCGCTGGGTGGTCTGCAACGTCGCGTCCGCGACGGCGCCCAGGACAGCTCTCGCCGTCTCTGGCGGCAAGGACCTCGCAGCTTCCCGCATCAGGGTATCCACGGTGTCGCCCTGGGTCCGCCTCGCCACCCAAGCCGCCTCGTCGCCCCCTTGCACGATCCAGACTTCCTCGGGCGACAGCGCTCGGATGCGCCCGTCGCGGCTCCCCGGGATGTGGACCAACGTCCCTCCCGGTCCGCCCGGGCCCTCTGTGGGCCAGCGAACCGTGCCGATCGGGCCGTCGATCGAGCAGACCAGGTGCTTCGTGTCGGCGAGCTTGATGTGGCCGATGCCCTTGGGCAGCATGGCGTCGGAGCCGCTCCGGGCTGATGGGTCCCACGTGACGTTCCCCTCGTCGTCGAGCCAGTGATGGTCGCCTTCGCTGAGCTTGTCCTTCAGCGCGTGCTTCACCCCTGTGTGGACAGCGGCGCGCCGGCGGCATGCGCATGCTCGCCAGGCT